TACATAGATGTTTAGATAATCTATAGGCTGATTAGTTTGTTGTTGCAGTATGTGCATATTATCTAATTTGCATACATTTTTAATATTTTTACCTCAAAATATCTCAAAAACCACTCAGATCAGATTAAAATGAAACTTGGGATATGCTCTGAAGCAATCATCAGATGTGATTAGTTGAAATCATTGCATATTAATTTCCAGATTTGCGTAATCAATTGTCTTATATCTCAACAGCAGGTAAGAAATACACTAGTGAATCAGCATAAATTATATTTTTTTTTAGGACTAGGTGCAAACTACAAGACCGATGAAAACTGGATTGCTCACCAAGACGATTTTAACTCTTTGCTTGCCAACCTCAACGATAACCATGGAACCACTGAAGAGCCAAAAATAGTTTCGACAAGTTTAGAAGAGCGATCAAAGTTGTCCAAAAAAAGAGTTCAGTAAGTACCACCAAGTTGGTTGTCATGGATATATATCAACATAAATTGGTCTATCCAGACAATGACAATATCATTACATGTATTTGGTCATCCAGTGTTTTCACCAGACATGACACTTAAAACATTTGTCTCATGGTTTAATTTCTCATGAAACAAATAGTCTCACAAAAATGTAAGAAAATACAAGTGACAATTCTTAAGTGTAGAACAAAATTCAAACATAATAAATATTTGAGTACACTGTCTCCAATATAAGGGGTACAAAATACTTCATTACTGTCTTTTGTTTCCACATGGATGGGTAATTGTCTTGTAATTTCCATAAGCTGATGGAACAATTCTAACCAACATATTAATTCCTGGTGAAAACATTTGTCATCTCTTATTTTTTTTTTTTATTTGAAAAAATATCTTTATGAATACTAAATGTATACTGGCACTTTGGGTTTTTGTAGTAAAGAGTAAAGAGAAAATGATATACAATAATTTTTATATTTTTAGTTCCGCTGTCGACTTTGTCGAGCGGAGCTTATCATATGAGTGATTGTCCGTCGTCGTCGTCGTCCGTGTCAATGTTTTACTTTTTCGACTTCTTCTTGAAAACTACAAGCCTGAATGCTTTG